TTATCCACAGAATACAAAAGTAGCAATTGAGCGGATTCAGAGTAGTTCTATTAATTAGGGAAGGACCATTCTGTATTTTGTGAGGGGGATAAAGGATGCTGAATGAAATGAATGTGATGGTGTCTAGAACTGAAGATCAAACATTTTGCCCAAGACATGTTTAAAATGAATTTTCTGTACATTCAGATGCGCATACGATTTGAAAAAAGAATGAAATATTAAGTAATCCTGGCTTATAACGCGGATGAAAATGATTATTCTGTCCACGCAAAACCTTTTGCTCAAAAGCCTACCCTAACCAAAGAAATACATTGGCCGTTCTCTAAGCAATTTTGTTCGTTTCGCCTTGTTTTTGTAGATTAAAAGGATCTGTCTTCATCATCCTGAACATTTTAGTCATGCATTATTTGCTTCTTTCTATTATCTTTTCTTACAAAATCCAATTAATATACTCAAGGTCAAAGGTTAAGGTCATTTATGACCTTTGACCTTGAGTTAAATTGAAGGTAATTTAATGCTCAATAGTTTTCACATCATGATCATTCAATAGTAATTACTGTTTTCGGGTAATCTTAATAACATGGAAAAAAACATAAATGACACATTTTGGATTTCATAGCAACCATCCTAGCACCTGGATCCCAAATATTTTGTTGTAAATTATTGACTAGAAACATTAATGCTTTATATTTATAACCACAACTTAAATGAAGGTGAATGCAAAACTGTATATTTTGTTCATGCTAAATGTGTATAATTTGCCTTCACAAATACAATGAAAAATGACCTGTGCTCCTGCGGCTGTGACAATATTCAGCCAAAATATTGTTTATATGTGACATTGCTGTTAGGTTTGTTAAGTGTCATGTTTCTGAAAAAAATATTGACAAATATCATTAAATAAAATTTGGTTTAGCTTCAGAATGCCGGCAAAGTAGTTGTTTTTTCCATGCTAAATTTCAAAAAATGTACGGGAAAACTCATTGACTTGGTTGCCATGGCAACCGTGGCCTAGCAACACTTTGGGAGGCATTTTTCTTACTTTTTCACCTAGTTATATGATATAAGATTCAGGAAAATCGGTGATTATGCGTGCCGACCCCCCCCCCCCCCCTATATGAAATGGTTGGTGGTTACAGGGAATTGCTCTTAACACCTAACAGTTACATTATACTTGATGAAAGGTAAATAAAATAAAATAAAATAAAATCATTTATAGGTTTAAAATCCCGGATCGTCACCTTGACAAAAAATACCGAGTTTGGAAGACATGTGTCAGCATTGGGTGAAAGACAAATAGATATAGGAAGATGTGGTATGAGTGCCAATGAGACAACTCTCCATCCAAGTTACAATTTATAAAAGTAAACCATTATAGGTCAAGGTACGGCCTTCAAGCTGCATTATGCCTGCAAACTAATCTAGTAGGTCATTTTGTATTCATCACATTCGACCTATAGTCCTTAAACCATATAGGGTTCGGCCTCTTCATACCCAGCGACAGTGGAGGATATTTGCTGACACTTATACTTTTTTGAGTCTTTTGTAGACGAAACGCGCGTCTGGCATACACAATTTAAATAATCCTGGTATCTATTATGAGTTTATTGTTGTTTAATGAAGATCAGGCCCAAGACTTTGGATCAACATTTTTTAAAATCATTAAAACCTCGACTGCTGACCTTGAAATAAATGTGAAGGGGTCATTTCAAGGAATTCTGGATTCTGCCTCAGGTTTTTAATAGATGATGGCAGAATACTACTGCATTAGGCAAACATATCAATGAAAATTTTATTCTACATTCGGTAGATAATAGTATAATAAAACTACATGAAATAAAAGATAGAAATATATATTTTTTCATTGTGTAGAACATATATTTAAAACTATAAAATACATAAAAAAAATCATGTCAATGAGCTGATAGACAAAAAAATATAAAAAATATAAAACCTCGACCGCTGACATTGAAATAAATTTAAAGGGGTCCATTCAAGGAATTCTGGATTATGCCTCTGGTTTTTAATAGATGATGGTAGAATACTACTGCACTAGGCAAACATAGCAATGAAAATGTTATTCTACATTCGGTAGATAATAGTATTGTAAAACTACATGAAATAAACAAGAATGTGTCCATAGTACACGGATGCCCAACTCGCACTATCATTTTCTATGTTCAGTGGACCGTGAAATTGGGATCAAAACTCTAATTTGGCATTAAAATTAGAAAGATCATATCATAGGGAAGATGTGTACTAAGTTTCAAGTTGATTGGACTTCAACTTCATCAAAAACTACCTTGACCAAAAACTTTAACCTGAAGCGGGACAGACGAACGAACGAACGGACGCACAGACCGAAAAACATAATGCCCCTAAGTGGGGCATAACAATAGAAATATATATTTTTTCATTGTGTAGAACATATATTTATACTATAAAATACATCAAAAAATCATGACAATGAGCTGATAGACCAAAAAAATATAAAAAATATAAAACCTCGACCGCTGACAATGAAATAAATTTTAAGGGGTCCATTTAAGGAACTCTGGATTATGCCTCTGGTTGTCGAGCCTTCGACTTTTGTAGAAAAAGCGAGACAAAGCGATCCTACATTCCGTCGGCGTCGGCGTCGTCGTCGACGGCGGCGGCGGCGTCCACAAATATTCACTCTGTGGTTAAAGTTTTTGAAATTTTAATAACTTTCTTAAACTATCCTGGATTTCTACCAAACTTGGAAAGAAGCTTGTTTATGATCATAAGATAGTATTATGAAGTAAATTTTGTAAAAAAAAAATCCATTTTTTCCGTATTTTACTTATAAATGGACAGTTAACATTACTCTGTGGTTAAAGTTTTTCAAATTTTAACAACTTTCTTAAACTATCCTGGATTTGTACCAAACTTGGACAGAAGCTTGTTTATGATTAAAAGCTAATATCTAGAAGGAAATTTTGTTAAAATTTTGTTCCATTTTTTCCGTATTTTACTTATTAATAAATGGACTTAGTTTTCTTCCAGTTAACATTACATACAGTCTGCAGTTTAAGTTTTTAAAACATTTATTATATTCATAAACTATCCTGGATTTTTGCCAAACTTGGACAGAAGCTACTTACAATCAAAAGATAGTATAGAGAGGAATACTTTTATTAATTTTTTTCCTCATCTTTGTGGAGCCTGCGATTAACAGCAAAAGTAGGCGAGACACTGGGTTCCGCGGAACCCTTACGAATCTTTTTTAATAGATGATGGTAGAATACTACTGCACTAGGCAAGCATATCAATGGAACATAAGGATAAAGAAATTCTGTATCATATGTGACTGCTGAACATTTAGTATTAGCAGTACAGCACATACTGGCTGGTTAGTCATGTCAACAACCTTTTCATGATCTAATACTAGTATACCCTCGCCTGAATCATCAAATCTAGACCAAACAAGGATTTATATAGTATTTAAATCCTTGGCCCAAACAAATACGAATAAAAATGAGATGCACATTTACAAAATTCAACCATGAAAAACTCGGTAGTATTGTTTTGATGGTGGTGATAAATAATACAGATCCTGATTTCGTAATGTTCGTTTGGTTGCTTACATCAATAACTGCTAGTTCTATATTGGTTCCGGAAATGTTATTTTATTATTGTTTTCAACGTTTATGTTATAAACGTTCTCTATTGATTTTCTACTAGGTCTTTGTCTCGGGTATATTTGTTCTTTGTTGTCTCTTGAAGACTGCATTATTTTAGTTCTATCAAAAAAGCTTGTATTTTTCGTGTTCTCTTCATTTATTTGCTTTACATTTGCACTTTCACAATAGTCTGTTAACACTTTGTTTTCTCCTGGCATCGCACTTATACTGTTATTGGGACCTGGTACCGCTGTGTTATCGTTGCCCACTGCAGATGTAATTATATCTGTTCGATCAGTGATATCTGTTACCGCTGTGTTATCGTTATTCACTGCAGATGTTATTATGTCTGTTCTATCACTGATATCTGGTACCGCTGTGTTATCGTTATCCACTGCAGATGTTATTATATCTGTTCTATCATTGATATCGATATGGGTTAGATTCGTAAGTATGCATTGGCTTTGTTTCTTTGACTTCATTTTGTCAACCAATGCTTTGATGCATCCAATGATGGCCTACGGAGAGATGAGAAGTTAATAAATAAAACTGATACAAGTTTACTTTATTTAAGAATTGAATGCTTCCGCGCTTCATTCAAAATGTGCACCATTTTCTACATTAAGAAATGACTATACCAAGTCAGGAATATGACAGTTATTTTCCATTCGTTAGATGTGTTTGAGCTTTTGGTTTTGCCATTTGTTAAGGGACTTTCCGTTTTGAATTTTCCTTGGAGTTCGGTATTTTTGTTATTTTACTTTTTTTCGGTCAACGTTTTTAACACACCAATAAAATTACAAAAAGAAGCATTCTCTATAACTCCTATAATTTAGCTTTTATGCTACAATCATGAAATAACGAGTTTCATTAACATTTTTGTTGTTTTCCTATGCATTGTACTGACATTATCATTGAAAGCACGTGCTGTCATGTATTATATATTTTAATGGGAAATAAAATCTAATTTTGGAATGCCTCGGGATTCTTGTGAAACATATACATGTACGTGTAATGTAATTATTAGCCATTACTAGACAGAATTATTAGTTACAGTGAACAATATATATTAAACTTGATACACACAACAAAACAAACAATATGTAATGATTACTTCTATTATGACAATTCAAAAAATACTTTTGTTTTAAATTTTATTTTTTTTATAAAAACATATTGACATATACGGGGATTGTTTGGCAAAACCTATTTAGTGAACAAACTAAACCACTGATACACGAACATCTCAATGAATAATAAAACGAAGTAAAATAGGAGTACGGTTTGTTCTTTGAATATATTCGAGATATACTAGTATGAGATCCAGATATATATATGTATGTACCTTAATTTGTCTGTTGTCTGCTCTTTGGTCGGGTTGTTGTCTCTTTGACATATTCCCCATTTCCATTCTCAATTTTACCTTAATTTCAATTAGCAATTTATATCAACTTACGTTTCATTTTACTCACCACAATCAGAAACATAAATGCGTAAACTGTTGATGCAGTTGGAAATTTTAGATGGTCCACCATTATACCACCTAGTAATGGCCCTATAAAAGCACTGTAATGTAAAAATTAATCTGACCTTAACACTATATTGATTCTAAGGTTAATCTATCAATGCGTTGAAGACCCAAGCAAGTGCGGATCCAGGATTTTGAAAAAAATTGAAAACAACACGTTTAATAATTTTATACGTCCGAAGCGCTTTTCTGGATTTACCTTCATCAGGAACGCTCAAAGCCAAACATTTGAAATCCGAGGGATGTATAAGTACCGAAACAGTTGAAGAGCTATATGACAAAAATACATAAAACAAATAGCCAAATTCATCTAAGGTCAACTTTGCCTGAGGGAGTTGAAACCTTAGTTTCTTTAATATTTCAAAATTTATAAACGGACAATTTTAGAAAGGTTCGTTATAAATCTTGTCAGTACCGAAGTACTGACTACTGAGCTGATGCCACCCTCGGGGACTGATAGTCTACCAGCAGAGGTATCGACCCAGTGATGTAAAAAATTGAAAGGGGGACTGGCAAGCCAACGTTTGCAGTGATACTTGTAAAAAGTCTGCATTTATCATAATTGAAGTTCCATAAGGGGGGGCCTGGGCTCCCCTAAATCCGCCTCTGCCACTGCCAAAGGTTGACTGTTACCGCCTTTGGGTGGTTAAAGTTAAGCTTTATCGGTTGACTGAGATAGACGGTTCCCACATGTTCACTTTTAGCCAATGATATTTCTAAGAGTTTATAGGTCAGATAAATAGTAATTGCTTGAGTTCGCCCATCCTGCAGTAAAAACATACAAAAGATCTGTTCCTATTCAAAATACCATTGTTTTCCAGTGGCAGTTTAAAATTTTGCCCTTTATACAAGCCGACCAACTTTGCAGAACCTATTTTAGGTGTAATACCACCATTGTTTTCCACTATTAGTCTTTGTTAAATTTGCACTTTTCAAAAAATTGTGCAGAATTTATCTTTGTTTCAAATAAAGAAATACTTGGCATGAGTAGAGTTTTATCCTTTCCAGTACTACAGACAAAATTTCACATAACATGTCATTTCATATAAGATAATAACCATCACTGGAGGTTAACCAATCAAATTTCCATCCCTTTTTTTCCTGTGTACAAGCTTTAGTTACCATGTAACCTCAATATTCCAAAAATATTCTATAGAAACACCGTCAAATAAAAACAGAATGGTGCTTTGAAACACCCAATTTATAAGTTTATGACTCAGCAATTTTTGACTGCAATTAAATGTAGGATTAATTTCCCACAACTGTCAAATTCAAGGGAATATTTTTTTTTGTTCCCCCTTTTTAAAGAGGTGGCAATAGTCATCATGTCCTTTCCGTTTCTAAAGCTTCTGTCTGTCCTTAACCTCATTTGTATAGTTCAGTGGCTGCAAAACTGTATATTTTTATCACTGATATTTCCAGTTATGATAAGTAATAGGAAAAGTATGTTTGGTATAATTCAAATTCAAATTCAAATTCTTTTATTAACATATTCACTTGACCCTAAACAGTCATACAAAAACAATACAAAGACAGGCATTCAATATAACTACTTTCATCATATGAAATAATTGAGGGAGAATGTCCCATATAAAGAGGGATAACTCTGATATTTCTTTACATTAACAACGAAAATATATAAGAGCTGTGATAGATCTGAATTTTATTCAGATTGTAAAGCAGGCGGAAAAGTTCAGCGTGTGCACTCTTCTTGTTATCAGTCAAACTACAATGTTCAGTAAACTCCCTCAAATAAATATTGAAATATGTGTTTTGTCAGTCTCATATTATTGTATATGTTGTTAGAGAATATTTTACATCGTACAGTTGCGCCAATAAGAGGCAAGAAACAAGATAACACAATTTCACTTACCCTAGAGAAAAAGATGCTGATTCAAATCCAGCTACAATTCCATATACTGCCATGCCCCCTTCGTTATGTCCTTCGCTAAAATTAGGTAAACATGGGTCATATTGAGTTTGTCCTGTCTGTCAATCCAACAATATAGTTGGTATGTAGATTCGTTTTAAAGAGTATGTTTTGCTTTACATTACTAAAAACCCATTCAAGATACCAGGCTTATAATTTAGTACGGCAGAGGTGCATTTAATTTACATAAAACGCATTAGTGGTGCTCGGGTCAAAACGGAGTCCTCAGGCAATATTCCATAATAGCAGATGCACACAACCAAATAGTTTTGTAAACTTTATGTGAAGTTCCAAAGATCTTTGGTTGAAAACAAAAATTGGAACCTTTGTGAAAATTTTGCTAAAAAAAGACAGTGTGGAAAAACGGGAGAAAATCCGCAAACAATATCATAATAGCAGGTGCACAACTACAACAACAAAAAATCTAACGGTGAAGTTTTAGTGATCGGGTTTAATGATAGAATAAGGAGTTGATTTCACAAAATAGGAACCAACTTTTCACCGCCCGCCATACATCCCCATACTATACATAAACCGACCTAGAGCATCGATAACCAAAAATTAAAAAAAGTGGCGCCAAATCTGCATGGCTATATAAGGCCGTCTAAACCCTTGGGTAGAAAAACCTTAGTTGATAAATTAATTTTTTTTATCTTTAATAATTTAAAAGAAAATGGTCGCATCAATGATATGTCATGTCTTTACGCACAGTAGTGCTTAGTAGTGTGCTGGTTATACCATCGGGACGAAACATAAAGACATTTTTTCATCACAGTGGGCTTGTTCAATTTCATAGTGAGATCTTGTTTGCATATCATTTGGATTTTTTGTATGGGGAATATGTCTATCAGATGGCATGAAACTCATTTTGAATCATTTTTACGCTAATGTATCTGAAGTTTTCCGGATTAGTTTAAAAATGAGGAGATGTGGTAAGATTGCCAATGAGACAACTATATATATATCCACCAGAGTTAAAATGAAGGTCTGTTCTCAGTAAAATGCATGTTGGATTTGTTCTATGTAGTTTTGTGTAGATGTGAATTGTGTGAATTTATTGTCAATGGTCATATATGGTGTATATCCAATCGCTTGATCTGGCCTTACAAATTGTCTAAATAAGGTCACAATTTCTCAATAACTGTTTCTGATAGGTCCATTATAGATATGTTAATTGATTGAATGTCGAACATTTTAATCTGGTAGAGCTATAAAGCAATATTGATTTGAAAACGGAATGTTCTGTTCGTGCATTAAGAAACTATAAATATGACATATACGCATGTCACAGATGTAAATAAAATAAATACTAGTAAATATGTTAGCAGAAATTATATCAATATTATAATCATTGTATGGTAATTATAAATAAGTTGCAGTAATTTCAATACTATCGAGCATATTTTACCGAGTAGAATATTATATTCTACAGTTTGTGAGTGCAATCAATATTCTACACGACATGACGTGTAATCTTCGCAAATTGTCATACCAACGACCTGTATTTATATTGCTTATTCCTATTTATCCAGTGGGAATCAATCAATCCAGATACATTGATGATTATATAGTGTTGCGATGTCTTAAATATCAACAGAAAAACCTTTGAATAACAATTCAAAATTTTATCTCCACAAAAAGGCTAAAAATAATAAATAGTTCACAATATGCAATTATCATTCCACGCATGTGTTCAAGAAAAGAGCAGTTGCATTTCAGTTTCTTGAGGTGGTGATGTTTTTTGGGGTTTTTTTTTCGTGTTGTTTGAATAATACCATGAAATATAAGTATGATTAAAATATATATTTTGCATTTATGGTAAAAGCAACCGTTGATTGAAAAACTTTAACACTTAACTTTAATATAACAAATAATTTGTCACTCCTGTTATCTCCCAATAAATTTTTTTAAGATAATCATTGACTCGGATAATAAGCTACCAAATATGGTTTTCAGTGCAATGAAATGTTTAGGGGAAGATCATTTAACTGTAAGGGGTGGTGGTATTTTTTATTCTTTTTCACCACGCAAGCATTATTTCTTCTTCCATTTTTTGGAAGCTGAAAGTGTGAAAATTTGTAAAGAACTTAACAATAGATTTAATGACAAAACTCTCCAATCGTAACCCCTTATCCTCAGAGTTAAATGGTCTTTCCTTTATGAAAGATGTCACTTACAATGACACAGACTTGAGTATATACGGTAACGTTGGTACTAATATACAGCTCATAGACATTCCAAAACAGATTGATGATAGAGTAAGTTGTGCTATAGAGCTGCAAAAAAGGGAAAGAAGTATTATTTGTAATTTGGAACTGAAGATGGTAAACATTTCCTTATAGAGTGTGACAAACTTAGTGAATTACAAACCGATCTCATCAAAATGTTTACTTCGTATGTAAAATAGTTGAGAAATGTTTCTGTCTTGATCTCATTTGTATGATTTACTTATTCGCGTTTTTTTTTTATTACAGTAGAATGTTTTAGAAATATATAATGTCTGTAGAGTCCTCTTCTTGGTCTGATCTTCGTTGCTTGAAGTACATGTAGCGCTCAAGTATATAGTGTAACCATTACGCAAGAGAGACATTTCTGTGAACAAACTATTGTCCTTTTAGAAAGTACTGAATTATTGAAAACAATTTTTGTTGAAAATTTTTACAATGTTATCCGCCAAACTTTAGATTATTTACAAAATGTAGGTCCACATTCTAAATTCTCGAAAACAATGTGATTTTCCCCTCAGCTTCAGATATTTTACAGTCAGACTAAAATTCAGATCTATCGTAACTCGTTTACTCGTCGAATCTGTTCTTTACTTAAAAATTAGATGTGTGTGTATTGAAAATTTTACCTTTTTATATATGGTATAAGCGGAGTTGGTCCAAACATCATGAATGATAAAAAAGCAAATATTAGTGCTATGTTCATCATCCATCTACCACAGTCCTAAAACAAAACATTGTAGACCCATTCACTGTAGTTGACATGCTCATATTTACTCATTTTAAAAGTGTAAAATATAGAGTTAGCTGTGAGTGATGCATTTTTTCAATATCAAACGTCTTTTACTTCACTTTAGACCAAACGTTTCGATGCTGGAAAGTTGTATAACATTAAAGACTCTCTTATTCATAGTCACCCAGTATTGAGTAAAAAATGAAATTCTGATTTTTTTTCTAAATGATGAACAGATACATTATTTTAGATTATACCATGCACTTATTAAAAGAAGGTTGAAATCAAAGTCTAATAGTTCCTCAGAATATTAAAATAATTTAACATTATCAACACTGAGCAGTTCATAAAAACAGAAATGTAGTATGAAGAAATACCTTTTTCTCGTTAATGAATCCCCATAGCGGTGATGAAAGTGCATACACAAATGGGAGGAGGACAAAAAATCCACCAGCTTCAGCAGTTGATAAATCTAACTAAAACAAACAAACAACACTTCTATAATTGCTAACCTTCTACGTCATTTTGTCTCTGGTGGAGAGTTCTTCTTATTTATATATCTTGAAATACTAAGTCTAAAACCACTTAATTGGAATATTTAGAATTCAAATAAGCTTTTAACATGTCCGCTGAATTGTCGCGGAGTTCAAGATACAATTCGAAACTCACCCTTGATTGGGGGGTCGCTTCTTTCTATGGAAAATTATCTAAAGCGAAACCTGCAATCTGGTGTTACTGATTGTGATAGATGATGATGATATAAGTTCTACAAACCTCTTTCAATTGAATTGCTAGAGTAGGTTCCAGAAACCCTATTCCTGAAGCAGCTATTAATACCATTAATCCTGTAATCATTATTGAAGGATTTTTAAGAAGAATTAACACCGACATCGAACTGTTGTCTTCTTTATCTGCAAAGAGATAACGTGAAGAAATACCTTTCACAATATTTAAACAAACAAACGCCTCACAAACATTTTTTTGTATTGTCATGTAAATCCTAAAAAATGTGACCAAATTAACATGATAGAGAGAAAGAGAGAAAAAATGGAAAACAGATCCCTGAAAACGCATCTCTAATTATAATTGTTAGTTTACAATATAAAATAAAATGATTTTGTTCCACTTAATTACATAATGAACATAGTCATAAAGGCCTTCAACAAACCATTGAATATTTAATATCTAATTACAGACCCGCATTTGATTATACTTTTCGTCACTCGTTCTCACAAGGTTTGTTTGTCCAATGTTCTATCGACAATTGAATTCATTTGGCTCTATTTGCGACAACCGAGTTCACTTGGCTTCATTATGGACAATCGAATTCACTTGGCTCGATTATTGACAATCGAATTCACTTGCCTACATAAACATATTACAATTAATTGATCGGAAAATTTAACTCGCGTAAAACAAGCGGCAATTGATAAAATCTAGTTCGATTGATCTTTAATAAAAATTCTAACGGTAATTTTTTATCACAGTATCTGTTAACAAATGTCAAGCATCCAACCATCACATATAGAGCGAGAGTGAGAGAAAAAAAATCATACAAGATCGATATTATCTTCCAAATGCAATCTAGGCTACTATGCATGATTTTTTATTGGCCGATAGTCGAATAGCGTGATATAATTCCAATTCTACCTGAAAATATGAAAGCAACCTAAGAATTATTAGCTCCCCCCTAATAAAACAACTATTTTTATAGAGTGTTCATATACTTCATGCATACGGTAATGATTTAAAAAAAATCATATATTTTTTTAAATTTTAAATAGAAGCTGACCTTAATATAAATAATTAATGCCGGGAAATATGTAACCATAAAATATTATCCTATAATATTCATGATTTATAATTATTGAACGATAAATATTTTATGAGCTGCTGATAAATTTTGAAAACGACATCTCCAGTATGCAAATTTCAACTATAAGACGTAAACTTGACTTCACGTGTTTTATTGTGTTTTAATCTCAATTTCAATTTTTTGTGCCGAAATTTTTTGTGTTAATAGTCCATCAGATTACAAATATTGTATTTCGAAGATCTGTATAAATATAAGAATCGAATACTCTTTTTTTTAATGATACGAATTGAAAGAATATGATGATCACATTTTTAGCAAAGAAGCCTTTCATGCAAAATATGAATGTCACATGCTTTCGTTACATTATATAAAAAACATTGTTCAATTCACAGGCGCTTGGGAACAGTAATGTGGATAATGTTTTTATTGCTGTTTGCACTGGATATTCAATTGTCCATTTTTATACCACATACCACACATATGCCTTGTCTCGTCTTGTTTGGGGTGACTTAGTTGTTTCTAGTATGATTGTATCAGATAAATTCACCAAAACAATGTAAGACAAGCATAGTAGTGTTAAGAATGTAGAATATAATAGAAAATTGAATATTGTGTGAAAAGCAATGAAAAATAAAAAATATTCAAATCCTGTACCCACGCACCTGCGATTCAATTCTATAATCAAGTTTTAAAAAAGATAAAAAGTAAATACACAGTGACACACAGACAGCATCTGGGTAGCTATTCTTTCGAATTATTAACATATATATTTTTATTTCAGAATTGTTCAACTATGTCTCTATTTAAGAAGATGACTATAGATTGTCCTACATACTAATACGTGATCTTTTGAGATGGTCATAGATAGACGTAGCCTTCAGCGGTACATTTGTCTTCTGATTTTAAGATAATGATTACCTGTCGGTTTTGGTATAGTGAAGAAACAAAATATCCCTGTCAGCATAAGCATTGCCCCTGTCGTGTAAAATGGCAACCCAAAACCGCCAATCTGAAATAAATAAATAAAAAATAGCAGCATAACTTCTAGGGCTTACACTGGGCAAATAATGTAATGCCTTTTAAACTAACAACGCAACGGGTGTAACTCATAAAGCACCAAGGCTAGTGCTGTTTGCCATTCTGTAGCACCTTGGTTAACACAGGTCGTGTTTGTGTTGCTGAATCTTAAGTCCGCTGTGGAATTCATTTTGCCTTTTCCGTAATGTCATGATGATGGATAAGATATTTACCCCCTTTTTTCTTGCTTTTTTTTTCTTTTATACCAGTCATACGTGGAAGTAAAGAAATTCCAAAGAATAAATGGACCTCTCAACAATTGGCGAAAGATAACCTGCAACTTCACGGAGGTAGATATAAAAAAGAAGATGTGGTATGATTGCCAATGAGACAACGAGGCGCACTTACCGAACCAATGAGGCGCACTTACCAAACTGATCAAATATCTGCGCCAAGGTAAAATACTAAGGTATTAATCCCTGTATGATCAGTGAAGAGGCAAACTATGAGTAAAAACAGCTAATGGATACAAATTGTTAGGGAAACAGCAATAACCGCACAACATTTGCAATCAACGTTATCCAAAATTATTTGCCCAAATATATAGCATAAGACAAACTCTCAAGGATCAAAAGAGATCATAAACTTATCCTGTTTCATCCAGCTTTGCCAAAGTTCAAATTAGAAATCGACAATGTTCCCATGGTTTTGTCTAGTTCATACTAAGTTAAAGTTCAATATATACCATATACCAATTTTTAAGAATTGGGTGATCTATTTTGTCATTTGACAATGGCTTATGGATCTAATGTAGAGTTTATGGCTTTATAATCGGAACTAGAGGCTCTAAAGAGCCTATGTCGGTCACCTAGGTCTATGATCATCTCAACAATGGACTCTCTCCAACATTGTGGACTAGAATGGAATTCATGACAAACAAATTTTTTTCTTGATCTTGTATTGCTGATAATATTTCCTGTTTACAGTTTCTCTCTATTTTCTTTAGTTGTTGCCCAATACACAAAAAACGGTTAAAACATATCAATTAAGGCAATCACTCCTATAAAGAGTAAACCAACAATTTCGGCAAAATTTTACTTATTTGTAGATCTTGCATTTTATTTGTCTCGCTGATCCTTTTGGCTATTTAAAGTGTCTATCTATCTTTTTACAGTTTTCAAGATAGTAGTCAAAAGTGTAAAATATTGGTAAAAATCGTCATTAAAGAGCAAGTCCTCCAATAAGGGGTCGTCAGACGATTTCAAGATTGTAAACTTATTTGTAGATCTTGCCTTGCTGATCACTTTTGCGTTTTTAAGTTTCTATCTATCTATAATAGTTTTTTTCAGATTTTACTATTATCATTAAAGAGCATTAACTCCAATAAAGGTCGTCTGACGATTTAGACCAGGTGGACTTATTTGTAGGTCTTTTTTTGTTGATCATTTTTGGTATATAAAGTTTCTCTCTATCTATTGTTGGTTGGCAGGCGTGATCATCGGACACATTTTCTAAATTAGATACCCTAATGATGATTGTGGCCAAGTTTGGTTAAATTTGGCCCAGTAGTTTCAGAGGAGAAGATTTTTATAAAAGTTAACGACGAAGACGACGGACGACGGACCTTTCAGGCCAGGTGAGCTAAAAACGGATTTTTGAGTTCTAATCTGACGTGTGTTTTTCGGTTGTTATTTTGAAGCAGGAAATTTACTAATATGGTCGTGCATGGTGATTATCGTGTTCGTTACGTTGATGGTTCGCTATCTCGAGTTCGCTATAGCTCTAGTCTGGCGGTTTCTCTATTGAGTAAAAAGTAGTATTTTATTCATAACAAACCCATTTAAGAGTATTCAGCCGAGGGTTACCAATAGGTGCGTTTGGGGAAGGCCCCCCCCCCCCCCCCCAATTATAAACCTCGGTGTAACACATTTTTCAATTAAATTTCTTTATCAATTCAGCTTATTTTCAGGAAAGAACAAGTAAAAATAGATAAAATAAGCACAACTAATAAAGAAATGTTATCAAAAATATCGTAAACACGGAAAAGGGGGAGGGGTCATGTATCAACAGCCTGTGGTTACCGACTGTGCAACAAACCTGGTATAGTCCACTTCCCAAAGCTGGTCCGATCATCATGCCGAGGCCATTACACATTTCTATAACGCCCTGTAAAAGCAATTCGATCGTTTGTTTAATACAGCAAAAAGTTGACATTTCACATTATTCATAAAAATGTTGGGTCGCAGGAAATATTATATTTTGATGTATGTGCTCATACATTTATTATACACAATGCATGGGTTCATGGTGTGCGGGTTCAAAACTCTAATGAACACACATTCTATTTCTTATTAATCCATTCGGGATACCCTAGTCTCTTTCCTTTTAATACCTTGACATAATTTTTGATTTCATATACTTTAATGCCATCTGCCTTATCCCCGAAAATTTAACTTAGTGTGTTGTTACATAAGAGATGTGGAAGATACCAAAGGGACATTCAAACTGATAAGTTGATGACAACTTGTGATATATATATATATATATATATAGCGTTCGTAAAATTTTCGAAGGGATGACTTCAACTTCACCACTTGGAAGCCTTGTTTTAATAGTTTGCGTTCAACACACAGGCACTTGTCCGACTCTCTGAACACAAAAAATGACCATATACCTCAAAATAATTTGTATATAGGTGTAGTATTTCCAACAAACTCCTTTTCATTTACCTTGCCGTCATCCATTGTCGTTTCAACTTTGTCGTCAGTTTACATTTCATTTTTGTTTCATTGTGGAGCACCACTAGAAGCAATCTAATTAAGATATATATAGATCTCCGATTTCGTTATCCTCATATGACGCAAGTTAAGATAGATTTTAATCTTAATTAGATTGCACTAGAATAAGAAGTTGTTGAAACTGAGCGTGACGCGGATGATTTTTGATTGCTCTAACCAAGTAACTTAGTTGTTTATACTGGTGAACTATCATCCAAGATAAGAAAGAGCATTCAAGCACGGATCCAGCAATTTTAAGAAAGAGGGTCTAGGGTTTTCATTTGGAATAAGGAAATGGGTCCTGGCCAATTTTTTTGAATTAACAGATTTTCTCCGCTATAAACGACAATTTTAAAGGTTCTTTTTGCATGTATGGGTAAGAATAAGTGGTGTTACTTTGGTACAGATCAATACTGATTGGAATATTGTAAAATAGAAAACATATTTTAAAAATGGTGCTTTATTTGCGTTAATTGCACGAAAATACATGTCAGAACTCACCATGACGGAAGGAATTTTCTTTGGAAAAGCTATGGCCACTATTGCATATACAGATGTTAAGCAGGCGGCTGATCCAACAGCTTCTAGGAAACGTACAACAAAACAAGAAACTATAAAAATGTTCTTGTCCGGTATATAATTAAGTACTCTGAAATAAAATAGCATACAATTATTGAGAACAGTTGTTTTACCCGAAGACAAAACTATATTCAGATGCATCTTGCAAAACAAGCACTCGATTGATTGATTGTTGTTTTGTTTAACGTCCAGTGACAAATATTTCATGCACATTCAGGACGAGAACAAATAAACAATGTATACAGTAGGAAGGTTCTGTAAAGTGGGTCGACCGTAATGAAGGGTGATTATTAAAACTGCCATTAAAACAAGTTATTTTTGGATATGGTTGGGTGATCCTGTCTTACAACAGCTCACTGCGTATCTACGGTTGTTGCAAAGTTTTTTAAGGTGCATAGAGCGCGGCATTCGCTCTTTACAAGGCTTTGGATTTAACGTCCCCGTGTGCATTCCGGCCTGACGTGCCTCCATGACAACGTATTTATAACACTCGTACAGCAAAACATGCAGCAGCCCATTTTAGGCAAGGGATTTACTGCCGGACGGGGATGTCTAAGGGATACCCGTATTTAAGTTACTTAAAGTGCCTTTACCATACGTCAGGCCGATGACAGTCATTCGCCAATCGTTACCACGAGGTTGTTTGTAAATTTTTTGGCTAAAACTTGCCAGTATATATATAGACATAATATTTTTGTAGGTATCTTGAAGATAAGAACATTTCTATACCCTTTTCTTACCCAATGATCATCGTGCTTACTCCACATAACATGACACCAGCAAGGAATACTTTTCTGAAACCAAGTGTTGAAAGCTGCAAAACAATAGGACTTATATTTTATCACTATTTTGTTAGCTATTTTTGTTATTTCTATCACCAGGCAAATCAAAGAAAATTATTCCACAACAACGATCTAAGGATGCAACAGTTTCTGAGTCCTCTTAGCCAGTTTGGATTTACTTATCATACAATATTTTTATGTGTTTTCCCGTATGCTGGTTGGGAAGGATGGGTTGGGGTCTTCATTTCCGTATTTGGCACAACTTTTAGGAATTTTGGGTCCTCAATGTTCTTCAACTTTATACTTGTTTGGCTTTCTTACTATTTTGATCTGAGCGTCACTGATGAGTCTTATGTAGACGAAACGGGCGTCTGGCGTATCAAATTATAAGCCTGGTACCTTTGATAACTATTCTGTAACTTTTTAGGCCATTTCTCTCTATTCTTTATGTTTTGCTCATTATTCTCTATTCTTTATATGTTAGCACGCCGTCATTCTCTATTCTTTATATGTTAGCACGCCGTCATTCTCTATTCTTTATATGTTAGCACGCCGTCATTCTCTATTCTTTCTTGTCCCTCTATCGCTATTTCCCTCTGTTTCCCTCTTTAGAAGTTTGAGAGAATAATATTCTCTGTTGAATTGTCTAAATAAATTGTAGATTCGACCATTTTTTAAAGCTATTTACGTATATTCATCTTAATGCAAAATAGTGAATTATTTCATGCTTGATAATAACGTCATTTCTTATAACTACATATGATTTTTTGTCAATTCTGTTTTTATTGGATGTAATGAGTTTTGATGTGGTGATAAGGGTCATATTTTACTTGTTCTGCAGGTCAAACAGTGTGAAGTTATCACTGTATATAGATGATTTTTATGAAACCTTGTTGCTCCGTTTTATTTTGTAGTAAACTTACGTATTTTCCGATCAATGGCGACAAAACGAATATCACAAACTCGAACATCGCGAACAAAATACCAATGACAGTTTTGGAAATTCCCCTCTCAGTTGCCTGTAAAATAGAACAATCTAAACGGAATGAAATATCAGATCGAAAACCCGATAGCGGGTATATCATTCTACTGCAGTATTTCTTTACAAATGTTGTTATTAAAAAGGGGGCTTACACTAGCTTGGCAGCCTTCTCGCCCCAAGTCCGTTACAAACGGTCTAATATGCTTTCAGATCATACAAAGAATCAAAATCAAGTGACTGGTGAAATATAAAGTAAATCGTTTGAAAATTTCTTAAATACTACAGCTATTAAATAAAAAAAAAAAAAAAATTTAATCAATATTCTTTTGACTATTGTACAATCGTATAAGAAAGTAAAATAACTGACCTTAATTGTGAAAAACGGTGCAGGCAGCGAATAACAAATATATGAGCACACACAAACTAATCCTAAAGAAAGGACTATCGCTGTTTCTCTCTTTGGTCCCGTACATATCCGAGATGGACTTTCTTTTTCTGGGGTCGCCATTTGTTATAATAATTATTACTTAAGTTCCGATGAAATCATTCTAACATGGCGATTATTTTTGTAACTCTGTGTGAAAAACATTTTCACCTTCCTGTGGTGAATTGAATGACTACGTAAACCTTTATATATCTAGATCGTAAAAATAAACATTATAGAGAATGTGTTAAAACATTTTATATTTACTTAAAACGGAAATACGGAAATACGGTTGTTTTTTAACCTGGGTGTCAGTTGTCGATAATTATTTTTAACTAAAGAATGATTTCAGTGGCTGATCCAGCGGGGGCGTAGAGGTCACTAAAAAAAATTAAAATCTCATGTTTCTCACGATTTATTAGATTGTTTTAGCTTAAAATCGTCACAAAAATTATTGAATATACAGTTTTATAAAATTATCCCCCCCCCCCCCCCCCCCCCCTTTCGAAAATCCTTGATTCATGGGTTTTAATCTACACTCATAGGTTGCATTGATTCAGAACAGAAAGGCAATGAATGCATTGCGTCGCTTCAAACTTTTTCAGTACTTATACTTATACTTGAGTCGACTCATTGATGGATAGTTGACTCATTGGTTGTTATACCCGTGGCATCTCTTCTTCTTTTTTCTTTTTTGTTCTGTCATTTACGCTGCCATTTTTTGACTTTTTAGTGCTTGGATTATTTCTGAAATGTATATATTCTATGAGCTGTATTGTTTACGAATAAAGTTATCATTATTATTTGTTATGAAATTTTCTTCAATTTTTCAATTTATTTTTTCAATTATTTTATGTAAAAGATGTATAAACCCACTATGGGTTTATACATCTATGCTCTTATCCATTCAATCTATCTGTAAGTGCTGTCCCTCTTCTCATCATGATTTCCCATGCACGTGAAAATAAGAGTAGATGGACAAAATGGATAAACTAGTTATTGTAAGAATAAGGGGATAAGAACGAGAACACATGAAATAACGAAAAATAAATTGATTTAATCAAGAAAATTTAAAAAAAAACAAACAAAATATTTAACACAACCGTTAGAAAAAAGAAAAGGGGTCAATTGAATAATATTTCTTAAAAACTACAATTGGATTTGTCACATTTAAGGTTTCATTATATATTTATATATATATGACCTGTACGACAACCATTTCTGTTATTTAATACACGATTAAATTTGGTCGGTCAACATGTTTTTGTTATCGTGTAATACAGACCCGTCAAACACTTAATACGCTGATGGCAATCGGAAACAAAGACTTTATTATTAACTGTTGTTTTTTTTTCAAAAGCCAGAAATCTTCAAAGGCCGGATTGCAAATCTTTTAATTAATTGTCTCGACTGCGACGAAAGTCGGTTAGTCGAGACATAGCGATCCTAGATTCCGTCGTCGTCGTTGTCATCATTTAGGTTCAGTCAGTATGATGTTTTAATCAATAACTTTGTCAAATATTCGTGGAAGGTTATGAAAATTAAACAGAAGCTTTTTTATGATCAAGGAAATTAAAAATATTTGTTTTCCGTTTCCGTATTTTAATGATAAATGGTCATATTTGTATATATGTCTCTGTATTTAGACATCAATAACTTTGTCAAACCTTCATGGAATTTTATGACTATTGGACAGAAACTTCTTCATTTTAATAAGGAATTACATCCGAAGAAAAATTGGAATTCTTATTCGTCTTATTATTCCGTATATTTTACTGATAAAAAGACTTAGTTTCTTTTGGGGTTAAGATTTATATAAAATATACCTTCATCAAACCTTCAAGATCTTGAAATGATGACACGCTTACATAGGCAAAATATATGCACGCACAACACAATGGCATATAATATCACAATAAATTTTCAAATCAAATCAATTTTATCGTCATTAAACATTTACAGTATGTTTGTGGCAATACAAATTTAAAAAAAAAAACAATAAACAACAATATAACAACAAAACAGAATACCAATAAAAACATAAGTGATAGATTTATTATACAATATTACAATATTCAATAGCCATGTTACAATGAGACCTCTGCCTTCAGTTCTAATGATGACATTTTAAATTTAAAAAAAATGGTATTCATTATCAGTAGTAGGACTCTACTTTTCTTACATAATCTTTGTACTCTTGAGATGTTCATTATTATACCAACCTACTTCAATAACCAGGGAATTATTGCAAAAGTCTAATCTTGGATAACAATTGTCTAAATGTGAAGTTATTGCAATTTTTAAAATAGTCTTCAGTCTGACAATAAGTTTGAACTTTTCTATAAAGACACAGTTTTAATGAGGCATCAATTTTTAAAAATTTTATCTGAAATTAATTAATTTCTCATGTTATCAGAAACAAGCTTTTCAATTTTTTATATTTTATTTTTTTTTCCATTTTTTAATTTTCAATTTTGGTTCATTTATATGTTTCGGAGTTAAGTGTGGTGTCCATTTCGCTGAACTAGTATACATTATTGTTTTGGGGCCAGCTGAAGCCCGCCTCTGGGTGTGGGATTTTCTTGCTGTGTTGAAGACCCATTGGTGGCCTTGATCTGTTTTCTGCTCTTTGGTCGGGTTGTTGTCTCGTTGACACATTTCACGTTTCTATTCTCAATTTTATATTTCATTATGTATACAAAAAACTATACATCTTACAAAGTCTACCCGAATTATTTCAGTTTGCAAAGAATTCCGCTCAAACGGGTGCTAGGGGCTGTTTTGAACTTGCAGTGAGCTGAGAGTTTTTTTTCTCTCTCCGTATTGAAGGCCTCACTGTGGCTTTGATAAGAAGAACAGCAATAAAAGCGCTGTTCCTTTGCTTTTTGTGTGTTTTGTGCTGTGCATGTACTGATTTTGTGTCATGGATAGATAGCCCATAATTTTTTTTTATCCTCTGTTTTTCTATTATATGAATATTGTTAAAAGATTGCTTAATAGACGTAAGACACCCATTTATTCATCGTCAATTAAATCCATTTGAGATGTGGAGTATACTTCAATGAAACAGCAACCCAACAAAATACAATAAAAATTTTACACTGCATCGAAAGGTCAGCTTACTGTCTTAAACAACTGTCAATACCAAAAGACTACAAAAGAAATGTTATGATCAAGACTATTTTTTGTAAGTGAATATAACAGCATCATGAACTGTCGTCAATAACTTAATTGATAGGGGTGCCGCTGGGGTTCTGTTATCCCACCCTTTTCATATAATTTCGATTTTAAAAATGTGTACCTTTTCATATATTACGTAGGTAAAAATGTAACCTTTTCCCATCTTGGTTGGGTTTCGTGTGGTGTGTTTGAAAGTTAAACATTCCATATTTTTTACAGTTGCAGTAAAAACAATCTAGTACGGTGATCTATATTTTAAACCATGCTCTCATTCACAGCAGCAGAATAGCTTTTTCTTTTTTTTTTTGGTTCTTACTTGCATTTCATCGTTCAGAAATTGACCACTATATATTTTATTTCCATTAACACCAGTATCAATTTCAATGACTAGTATAAACAATATTTTATTCAGAAGAAAAAAAAAATCATAAACATGTACTGTACCTGTAGAAAACTTACTTCAAAGTGATGTTAGTTATTTGATTGTATGACCGTTGGCCTATAAACTTGCAGTGAGATGAGAGTTTTTTGGCTCCGTGCTGAAGTCCTCGCTGTGCCTTTGCTTTTTTGCGTGATTTTTTGCTGTGCATGAACTGATTTTGTGTCATGGATGGATACTCCATATCCTTTGTTTTTCTATTATACAAGGTAATCTACAACAATACATATATGATAGGAAATGCAATGCATATTTACCCTGACTGTTTTAAAATAAACGGGGTATACTCTCGATGATATACTTAGAAAACCTGAAAAGCTGCTTCTAACAAAAAATTACTACTTCATAGGCATTTGAACATGAAAAACATTGTGAAAATAGTTTGTGTAATCCATCGCACTTCGGCGAAGCTATCAACAAGATAGCGTCACAATGCCACCATCGCACTTCAGCGTGACCATCGCGGTTCGGAGAACCATCGCGGGTCACAGTCCTACATATATTTTCAAATGTCAAAATACATATACGCTTTCTCGTATAACGATATAGACCAAAATACAATCAGTCTGTCTCATATTAATTTCCCATGAGTCCGAAAAACACAAGGCGGTTGCCAAATCTCGGTTACACCTCCGTACTTTGGAAGAAGTTAATATTATCTTTCTTCCTAGCTATATAGTGGATATTGAATACCAGTACGTAAACCACATTACAAAAACTGCTTGAAATAGAGTGAGGTATTGACAATTTACTTAGAAACTCAACATATACTCACACGACACTTACAAAAGAGGAAATTCTGAACGTTCATTTAGAATTTCAACCAAAGATGAAAGGCTGGATCTTTCTTCACTGTACTTGATACCAAAATTACAAAAGTGTCGATAAGCCAACGTTTTATTATTGCTTGGTCTTCCAAGTGCTACACAAAACACCTTTCCAAATTATTAACATCAATGGTATCATGCAGCAATTAAAGCCAGTTTTTAGATTACTGTGAAATTACTTTCTCTAGGGGCGGTGTAAAGCAGACGTGGATCCTAAAACATTCCAAAGATATGTTGGAGTATATGCAATCTAAGTCTATTCCAAAGATATGTTAGAGAATATACAATCTAAATTTGTTTCCTCTTGCAACAATATAAAAACATTTTACTGCTATACCTTTTAAACTAGTATTCCCCATTCTAAACTTAAATGACAGATTGAATAATCTTTTCTTTGTTTCATTAAAAAGAATGTCCAAATTAGATAAGGATAAATCACGGCATACTTGTACAAAAATCAATGATTCAAACAAAAAATTCGCCGAGTTTGACATCATCAAGAATTTTATTTTTTCAACAAAAATCGGCATTCCTGTGGGAATCAACTGTGCTCCTCTTCTTGTCGACTTATTCCCTTATTCATATCTCAAATACAAGAGCTTCTCAGAAAAAGCTTGCGTTATCCTTTAACTTCACGTTCTGCTTTATAAAGTAGGGGCGGATCCAGAATTTTAGATTTGGGGGGGGGGGGGGGGGGGGGGGGCTCAAACTTAAATTTTCGCCGATCGGAACGAGGCGAAAATTTGTTTGAGGTAAAATTATCGAAATATTCTTTATCAAGCTGAGGACAACCCATGCTTTG